CTCTGCCTCCCGAGTGCTGGGATTAAAGGCGTGCGCCACCAACGCCCGGCCCGGGATGCCTCACATTTATTAAAACCCATCTATTTATTTATTTATTTTATTTTATTTTTTTTTTTTTTTTGAGACAAGGTTTCTCTGTGTTACAGTCCTGGCTGTTCTTGTAGACCAAGCTGGCCTTGAACTCAAGAGATCCACCTACCTCTGCCTCCCAAGTGATGGGATTAAAGGCTTGTGTCCCGACTGTCTGGCTTAAAATTCTTAATTAAAAATTATTTTAAGTTCTTCTAATTTTTTTTTGTTTGTTTGTTTTGAGACAAGATATTGTCATGTGGCCCTGGTTGACCTGGTGCTCACTACGTAGACCAGGTTGGCCTTGAACTTGCTATGATTCCACTGCCTCTACCAAGATTGTTGGTGTATGCCACCATACCCAACCCAAGGTCCACTTTTTAAAGCAGGAATTTAAAAAGAACAGCTTCAGGGTCGGCACAAAATCCAGCAGAAGGCACAGAGGCTTCCCAGATAGCCCTGCCCAGCTTCCCACTGTCAATGTCCCAAACAGAGTGGCCCATTCCATGCACTTGAAGGAACCACACAGACAGACACACCATCACCCTCCCCCAGAGTGTGAGGTCTACACTGGGATTCTGCCTGATGTTAGAGACTCTGTGGGCTTTGGTGACTGACAGGCGTCCACCAGTAGAACATCAGACCATAGCTGCACAGCCCTACAAGCTTCTGTGCTTCACTGATTCCTCTGTACCCCAATTCCTGACAGCCACACTGATTCGTCTACTGATTCCATAACCTTGCCTTTCCCAGGAGGCTGCATGGTTGGAATCACACCCGGCGGAGCCTTTCCAGACTGACGTCTTTCACTTAGCACTACACACTCATGTTTCCTCCGTGTTTTTTCCCAGCCCAACAGCTCACTTCTTTTAAAGATGACTACAGTTCCATTTTCTGGATTCGTCGCAGTTTATTTTTCAGCTCATTTTACTGATGGACACTTAGTTTTCTTCCAAGTTTGGACAATGAGGACTAAAGCTGCTATGAACATGGGTGTGCAGGCTACTGTGTGGACATAAATTTTCAGTTCATTTGAGTAAATACCAACAGATGTGATTGCTGGTCTTGTGTTAGGAGAATATTTAATTAGTTTTACAAGAATCTGCCGAGTTGGGTGTAGTGGCCAAGTTGGTATAGTAATACACGCCTGTCATCTCGGCACTAGGGAGGCTGAGGCATGAGGACCATGAGTTCAAAGCCAACTTGGGCTACATAGAGAGACCTTCTCATAAATAAATAAATAAATAAATAAATAAATAAATAAATAAATAACACTTCAGAGAAGCCCTTACCTCTGAAAAAGCCAGTGAGAATGTAGCAGGACTGTGGGGCTTGAAAACCACAATTTTACAAAAAAAAAGGGAAGGGGTTGATTGGGCACATGAGTTAGCTGAGGTCAAACAGTTGTTTGGGGGGTAGGGGGGATATTTACTTGCATTTAACATTTTTTTTCTTGAGAACTTCATAAACACTGCATCTGTATCAATCACAGCCCTCTCTCTCCCCTTCCAATTCCTCCCACACCCTCTCTAAGTTTAAGACCTTTTCTTTTTAATGGTGTGTATGTATATGTATACATACACACGTGTAGAACCGACTGAACCCATGTATACATTACTCATAGGTAGATGTGTCGGGGCTAACCGCTTGAGGTTGAACAGTCATAGGAGAGCTTGTCCCTGGAGGAAACCATTCCTCTCAGCAGCCACTGATGAGGAAGTCAAATAGCTGTTTCAAGACAGAGAAGCAATACGACCCATGTTTCCTGAGTTCTGGGTCAATGGGTGAAGGTGGTTGGGACTGGACATCAACCAAGAAAGGGAACGCCTTTGTCTCTTCTTGAGATCCCAACTGGACCTCAGAAAGTCACCCGACGACAGTGCCCTTCTTCAAGTCCTAAGACAGTACTGAACTTTGACCCAGGACTTCACTTCTAGAGATTTATGTTGCACGCACACTCATGAGTTCAGTAGCTTAGACGCGCGGTTACTCACTGCAGCCTCATCTGTAGCAGGAATCCTGGAAACAGCCGATGACATCCCTGGGTGGCTAGCCAAGTGCAGTATGATACATCCGCAACAGGCTACAACTTAGATCACATGGAGTAAGGAAACTCTTTGTGTACAAACAGGAAGCAACTTCTAAGATCCGCCATCTAGTGAAAAAGTAAGGTTCAGCCAGGCTTCCTGACACAACCACTCGGGAGGCTGAGGCAGGAGGGTGGTGAATTTCAGAGCTGACAGTGCCACAGACTGAGTTGCAAACCAGCCCGAGGGACTTGATGAGACCTTGACTCAAAAGAAAGGAAGGATGAGGCTGAGAATGTAGGGGTGAACCTGCCTAGCATGTAAGAGGCCTGGGGTTCAACTACTAGTCCCAAAAAAGTAAGATGCCAAGAGTGTATGAAAGCTGTGAGCTTTCCAGGTGTGGGGGGCGCTTGGGCAGAGATCCCAGAAACTGGACTCATTGGCTGACTCTGGGAAGGAACTGGGTGGTCTAGCAATGGGATAGGAGAAGCGTGCTTTGTTAACGTCTATGTGCAACTAGGGGAAGTGAATTGTTATGTAAAAAATAAAATAAACAAGTTGGCAGAACTGGTTGACAACTCTAAACACAGATTTCTTGGCCAAATTTGAGCTGAGCCGCCAGGCAGTGGTGGCACTCACCTTTAATCTCAGCACTCGGCAGGCAGAGTCAGGCGGATCTCTGTGAGTTCGAGGCCAACCTGGTTTTTGGCGGTCCCGAGCGTGGGTTAGCCTGTGCAATTGCTGTGAGTGTGACTTCTGCTCAGGAGTGGAGAGAAATGGATGCGTGGAACACGCTCATCTCACCTCCAGGTAGGCGAGGCGCTAAGATCTTTCAAGCTAAGATTTGGAGTCTAGGGACCTGGGAGGTAACAGAAAAGGACAGCTGCAGGTGACACTGTTGGTGAATGCAGCTCACAAGGCAAGTTCAGGGATCCCAAGACTATAAAGAGACCCCCTCCCCCAAGGAGAGGGAGGAGGTTCGGGACTTGATGTGGGAAGTAAAACAAACAAGGGACTCTTCCAGCTGCCCTCCCAACTTCATCCCTACCCTCCTGGACTCACGGGGCAGGGGTGGGGATGACGGCGATGGGGAAGTGAAACCCTGACTGACCATTTTCTCTGGAACACCAGGGTTCCCAGGAGGAAGGGAGCCAGGGCTCTCCTGAACGGAAAATGGCTCTGTCTAAAACATGTAGAAAAGTCAGGTCCATCAGTACAGACCTCGAACCCTAGCAGGGCTGAGTCCACTGTGACACATCAGATGTCACGTGCTGTATCAGGTCACAAATGTACTTGGCCACAGAACCACTGTGGAGGACAGTCTGTGTTAAAGAGCACACTATGAGAAATGCTGGGCATCAACCGGAAGTGAACGAAACTCGTGAGTGGAGTGTCACGTGACTGCCACTCAAACGGGCCCTGTACGGTGTTTGTTGTCACTTGGTGTTTGCTTTTTTCAGCATGAATCATGAACTATTAGTGAGCGGTGACATCAATTTAGTGGGTTACATCCAGCTCTAAAACAGATGATTTGGATAGAACAGAAAGTAACAAGAGGTGGCATTTTTACCATGCACAAGTGCACACACCTGCATGCTGGGCCGAGATGCGGGACGGTACCCAGGCCAGAAACCTCAGCACACAGGAGGACGAAGTAGGACAATCGCTGACTTTGAGGCCCCTTGTACTGCAAGTTCAAGGCCAGGCAAGACTGCAAAGCTTGGGGTCTGGGGAATTGTTGTTGTTTGGTTGGTTGGGTTTTGTTTTGTTTTGTTTTTTAAGTGGGAGTAGGAAAGGAAGAAGAGGAAAAAGAAATGGAAAGAAAGGAAGTTTTTTCCTTACTGTGGGCCACAGTGGGAAAGTTGGAAAGGCTCTGCCAGTGCTGGGAAAGGGGAGGGGTTCCTCCTCTTCCAACCTCCCTGCCCGGAGCTTCTTCTTGGGAGTGGGATGACTGGGCCCAGGGAGACACCGGGTCCCCTCGGATAGTGATGTGGTCTTCACTCCTTTGTCCTGTGCTGACCGCTCTCCCTGACCGAAAGTCTCAGCCTGGGCAAGGCAGGATTGGGAACCCCAAGCTTCCAGGTTCCCCTGGACTGTGTGGAGCGCATCTCCAGTGCCTTCAACCCTGAAAGCTCATTTTGACGTTGTCTTGGTGACTTCTCATTAGCAATTACCTTTTTTTTTTTTCTCTCTTGTTTTTTCTATTTTGAAATGAGGGTCTCTTAAGTAGCCTGGGCAGCCTTCTTTGGGGTTACAAGCACACACCAGTACATTTGGCTTTGAATTTTTATTTTTCTTTGTTTCTCAAGTAAATTTGTAATTGCAGTTTTGTTTTTTTGTTTTTATTTATTTTGTGTGGGTATGTGTGGGTGTGTCATGGAGCAGGTATAGAGAGAGATAAGAGACAGTGAGCAGGAATCGGTTTTCTCCTCTTACCGTGTGGGACTCAAGGGCATTGAACTCAAGTTGTCGGGCTTGGTGGCAAAACCTTCACTGACTGAGCTGTCTTGCCAGTTCGGGTCTTTCTTTTTTAAAAATATGGTGTAGTGGCAAAACCACTTCCTTGTTCTGGTTCCTGTTCTCCGGCACGGATGAGCATTCTTCATTTAAACCTGGAAACGGTTCATCGTGATCAACGAGAGACAGAACCCTGCAGTGCCCCCCCCCCTTCTGCGAAGCTGAGTGTGGTAAAACCAGGGTAGTTGTCTGCTGGGTGTGTGACTTCCGGCAGGTGGCCTCCTCCCTCTGTGCCCATTTTCTCATCTGTCCAATAGAGGCAATAAAGTCTCCCTCACAGGGAAGTTAGGAGGATTAGACGAGACAGGCTGTATGGGATCTTTATCACAGTCCCTGTACATAGCAAGAGTTCAGTTAATTAATGCAGGCACCTGCCCTGCCATGGATTCGTGGTAGTATAATTCACCTATGTACATGGAACCACAGGTGACTGGGTCCAGTCTTCGATGTTAGGGACTTGTGGTGACTCCTAAAAGAGCTTTGGGGGCTGGGGAGACAGCTCAGTTGGTAAGGTGCCCTGAAAGCGTGAGGACCTGACTTAGGTGTCACAAACCAATGTGAAAGAAAGCTGGCCATGCAGCGTGTGCTTATAATCGCAGTGTTGGGGACACAGACAGTGCACATGCATTGTTGGGTACTCACAAGAGATCATCCCCCAGCCTGCGCCTGTCCCCTTTCTCCTGAGTAGAGTCCAGTACCATAAAGTGTTCAGGTGGGCTCTTCTGTGCATGGAGAGCATACCCAGTCTGTGGCAGATGAACTCAAATCGGCCTGTCCTTTCCATCCTAGGCAATACACCCGTCTAGTTGGGAGAATGAGGATCTTTATTCCCATACTTGCCAGGTTCCCCTGCAGAGGCCTTCAGGTCCCCAGACAGCACTCCTGCAGTCCTTGGAATCCCCTCCTGCTGAGATGTGTGCTCCTTCCTCACTAACGTGCTTGGACTTCCTCATTCCCGGCTCTCAAATACCTCAGGTTCACTGACATTTCTCACTTAACCGTCCACCTTCTCAACTAGACTCCAGCTCCCTTGCAGCCGGGGACTGTGTCTTGTTGTGTCAAATCTGGTTTGTCTCCCTGCATAGCACACAGGTCAAGGTTTAGCAAAAGCCAGTGAGCAGCTGACTGCACAGAGGGAACTTCTCAGGATGGGGGGTGGGGGGTGGGCCCAGCCAGCAGGAGCTCCAAGGACTACTTCCCTCTCTCCTCACTGACTAGGTCCACACCCCTCTGGGATTCTACACTCACACACTGTCCCAAACATGCGGGATTAACCAACTATGACTCTAACTCAACTTCTGACTCTAACTTTGAGCAGGGAGGTCTTAAGCCTTCATCAGTAGGTCATGCTGTCAGGAGTGCTTGTGACCTTTATTAAAAACACCAGTGCCGCCGGGCGGTGGTGGCGCACGCCTTTAATCCCAGCACTCGGGAGGCAGAGCCAGGTGGATCTCTGTGAGTTCGAGGCCAGCCTGGACTACCAAGTGAGTCCCAGGAAAGGCGCAAAGCTACACAGAGAAACCCTGTCTCGAAAAACCAAAAAAAAAAACACCAGTGCCAGGCTGCCTCTCTGCTACGCTCAGAGTGGGGCCCAGGAACCTGCTTTTGAACAGGTGACTGATGGAAACTAAAAGCTCAGAACTCAAACACTTTCTTTACCTGCCCCACCGACAATTTCCTTCCCTAGACTCAAACCCAGGCTTACAGTTTCACAAAAGGACAAATGTTGGACCAGCAGTTCCAGGACAAGGGGCTGGGCATTGCCCACCAGCAGGGTGAGTTAGAAAACACAACTGATCCTTCTGGAATTGACAGCCTGGGTTTCCTTTGAAGTAGCAAGCCAAATCTTTGGTGTTGTGGCATACAAAGACAATAACCGAAGCCCTGGGTTTTGTTCACCTGGACCTCAAAAGAGGGCCTGAAGAGAGCCCAAATCTTTGGAACCAAGTACACACGTAACACACGTGTACCTCTCTGCTTCTCTGTTTTGAAGCGACATAGAGCAGTGGCCCTGGCACCAACTCTGGAGTCACCAATGTGAAACCAGATTGCAGTTTAGGACCAGTGCAGCCATCACTCTGCCTGTTGTTATCACATGTGCAAACCTAGCTAATAGCCCTCCTTGCCTCCTATGGTTGGCAATAGGATTACCCAGGTAGTATAGACAAAGGACCTAGAACAGTTCTTGCATTTTGCCCATGGCAGATATTCCTGATTGATAGCTAACAATAGCTTCAAGCATTAAAAAAAGCAGATGCCCTGGAACCTGGCACCCCTGTGCTCTCACTCAAGAGGCCGATGCAGGAGTTTGAGGCTAGCCTGGTCTTCATGGGGAAACAAAATAAACAAAGCCCCCACAGAACTTGTAATCCCAAGTGGAAGTTATGAAATGACATCCTTTGTGTGCTCCTGGAAAGGGTAATTTCACCTCCCTGGGCCTGTAGCTCATCTGTAACATGAGAAAATCATGGTGCTTACTTCAGGCAACCCACATGACGCTTGTTGGAGGGCTGTGGTGGGGTCAGCGGTACAGTCCTTGGCACACAGCAAGGAGGGTTCAGCGATTGCCACTGTCAGTGTGGGTGCTGCAGAGGGAGACGGGACTGCAATGTCCTCTCCACTCGTCGCCCCAGACCATCTCCTAGCCACCAAAGCAGCAAAGAAAACAGTACTGCAAATAAATCTTTCTCTCTTCACCCACATGCTTCGGGAAGGCTAACCTGGCTGCAAAGGAGGTTACAAGTAGCTGCTCCCTCCCGACAGTGGGCCTCAGAATCACTGAAACTCCTCAGAAATGAAAGCACACGCCCCCTCTGCCCCCGCCCTCCAGCATGAAGCCTTGCATGGCTCCTCCCAGCCAGGCCCGCTCCAGGTATCTCTGGGGCATCAGGGCGGCTCCTAAGACAGCCCAGGTGCCTTGGAGCCTGTTAGAAGGTGCCAGAAAGTCTGACACAGTGTCTCAGGAAGGACTTGCCTAAAAATAGAATCTCAAAATCTCAGGCCACCCAGGAGTTAGGAACCCTGATAGGGCATCGGGCACAGCGTCTCCCAGGCTTCTCATACTTGCTCAGTACCGGGTAACAGCAGATTCTAGGGGCCCTCCCGGTAGGCGCAGCCCCTGCTCAGAGGGGGCGTCTGGGAGCGGGGATGTTGAGGAGCGTGTCGGGTGATTCCTATAGCCAGGCAAGTTACAGCATCTCTTGACCACCCTGGAGAATGGGGACCTCACCATTGCTTCTCAAGAGCAGCAGTGATGCGAGAGTTAACCGCTAAGAATGTAGACGTTGGAGCCAGATGTGGGCAGGGGCCTCGGCTCTCCCAGCTGCTTGCTCAGCCACATTCATCCAGTTACTTAATGGTTTCTCCTGTGTGATGTGGGGGCTGTAATTAATTGCAGGCATCTAGTTCCCAGATGGTCAGTAGGTTTACTGATGCCAGTGTAGATAAAAGTGCTTAGTGTAGGGCTTGACGTCGTCGTCGTCGTCGTCGTCGTCCCCAATAAACGGCTGCTGCCGGAATGGCTGCTGCAAGAGGAAAGTTATTTTTCGGGTTGTGCTGCCGTCTGCAGCCCTAGGGTGTGGATATACCCATGGGCACTGGTGCCTCAGCGCCTCGTTTCCAGATCTCGCCTTGTGACAGTCCTACAGGCACCTGGAGGCGGATGCGACACCTCCCCTTTCTCCACCACCACCATCATCCCCCAACATACAGAAGATGTTTTCTTCCATCTCTTTGACTGTGAGGCTCCTCAAGGATGGGCGGAACCACTCAAGCACGATTCAGAAGATAGGCTGCCCCCCTGCCCGACCATCCGTGGTGTCCCAAATTCACAACGTTTTACATCTATATTGCTACAAGGCCCCAGTAACAGTGTAGCTGAGCCAAAGAGGGCACAGGTGAGCTGGTGGGACTTGATAGCTCCCTAGCAGGAAATAGCCGTAAGAATGTCAGAGGGGCGGGCAAGATGCGGAATGACTCTGTCCAACACCTGCGCACTGCCCGAACCCGCAGTTAGGAGGCCTTCAACCGCTGGCCAGCACCCTCGAGGGCCCAGGGTCTTCCCATGACCAGTCTCAGCCCCTCTCTTTCCTTCTGTGGAACATATGCCCCCCAGACACTGGAGTGACTGCACCCTCTTTTCCCCGGAGGAGAAGGGACCCTGAAAGTGGCCTGCTGGGGGATGATGGGACTTGGCCTGTCTATTTGGGGCACCTTCCCTCTCTGTGGGGGTGGAGGGTTCAAACCACTGAGCGCCCACGAAGTCTCTCCAAGCCTCCAGTTATCTGTGAAAAGGGAGAACCTTTAGCACCCATTGCACATGGTTCCTCTGAGAAATAAGATAGCCCATATAGCAGCCAGTATACAGTCCTTCTGTGATTCAGCTATGGTGACAGGACCACCACAAAGGTTATCCATGTGAGCCATGTAAAGTGCGTGTGTGTGTGTGTGTGTGTGTGTGCGCGCGTGCGTGCATGTGTGCGTGCGTGCGTGTGTGTGTGTGTGTGTGTGTGTGTGTGTGTGTGTGTACGTGTCTTTTGCTTTGTTCCCAGTGGTAACACTAGCCACAGGCTATGAGCCTGTTTCCACAGCTGTGAAATATTTAGTCTATGCTCTGGGAGCCAGGGCATTCCAGGAGGGCCCCATACAGCCTACAGGAGGCCAGGAAGACTGGATCAGCCACACAGAGAGGTAAATGGTTCCAGAGTTGGGGCTCTGCCATCCATGTCCCCAACCCCGGGCAGATGATTATATGATGGAGTTGAAGTGCTGACCCTGAGGCTCTTCTCAGAGGTGAGACACCTGGGCACCTGCTGATCCTGGACTCTGGTGCCCAGGAAGGGGAAGGGCAGAAGCCATGTCCTATTTTCTGTACATGTGGTGGGCACTTTGAAGGCCCACGGGGCTGTCTTGAGGATAGAAGTGGCTGTGTCCTGGTAGTACAGGAAGTTTTCTAGTGCCCAGAGCCTGGGAAGGAATCCTTTCGCTTCTTGACAGACATGTGTCAAGGACAGGAAATAGTCCAGTCAGTTTTCTGATGTGTGGTTGGCCCAGACTTTCCCAAGAGAGTCCCCTGCCTTTTGCCTTCCTCCTGGAGGCAGGGCCATCAGTGTCCAAAAGCAGTTTTATTACATGCATTTATTTGTTTGTTTATTTGTATGTGTATGTTTGTGTATGTGTATGTTTATGCATATGTATGTGTGTATGCGTGTGTGTGTGCGCGCGTGCACATGCATGCCATATGGTGGTCAGAAGACAACTTGCTGGAGTTGGTTCTCTCCTTCTATCATGTGGGTTCTGAGTATTGAACTTGGGTCGTCAGCCTTGGTGGCAGTTGCCTTAACCCACTGAGCCGTCTCCTCAGCCCCCTAAAGCATTGTTTTAAGCAGCTAATAAACAATGCTTTTTCTATTCCACACGGCACGTAGCAACTGTAAGCTTTCTAACACACATGGGAGCCCCAAAACAAAACCAGGAAAGAGAGTCTCAGTGTGTTTCACCATTGGGTCTGCTCCAACTTGCACAAAGGGGTGGATCCCGTCTACAGACGGCTGCTCTTTGGAAGTTCTTCGAGAGTAAGACACAATGACCGTCACTGCTTTCCGGGTAAGATCTTTAAGCTCTGAGGAGCCTCCAGGTGTCGAGTGAGGAGCCCAGCCCTGCTTCCCTAGATGAGAAACCTGAGGGAAGTGACTCACCCAGAGAGCACCTGGGAGAATCTTCTCCTCCCTCACTCAGGAGGGGAAACCCTGCCCCATGGTTCAGAGTTAGCCAGACTCACATGCAGTCACCATTACGTGATGCTGCACATGACAGCTGAAGCTTCTGGAGGCACATTCATCTGCAGAAATTAATGCCTCTTGCGGGGTTTTGTGAGGACGTAATTATTACATGTACCTGCCTAGTAGGTCATCATCTACTCATCCCAGAGCTCAGCCCTCCTCCTTCTCCTCCTCCTCCTCCCTACACAGTCCTTAGTCACTCCTCTTCTGCCCTGACTCCCACAATATTTACATGGCTGCCTTGGAGTATTTCTCATTATTTTATTAAAGTCATTGATTTAAGCCTGTCCACTTCTTTCACTGTGAACACCTTGAGAGAGATGGAGCGTCAGAAGGGCAGCAGGCTTCTCTCTGTCCTCCCCTGTGTCTGTTGGTCTGAGTCAGTCCACACAGAACAAGGTGTCATATACCCCTGGGCCAAGGCTTTACCCTGGTGGAGATGGCATCATAAACACAGTACAAAGTCCTAGGGAAAGACGTTTGTCCACTCGTCCTCAGTGTCCTGAGGCCTAATACGCTCCCTCTTGCCTTCAGTTTCCCTTTTAAAATACAAGAATGGCCCACATAGCTTCAAGGGGCACACTGGCAGAGAAGAGCCAGGTTAAGATTTAAACTTCAAAATAAATTGAAGCCATTTTGCTCCATGTTTCTTGAGGCATAAGACCACAGACACCAGTATTACCTCGCAGCCTTGTTGACAAGCAGTCCCTCATCAGAAGCAGGATCAAGGGGTGGAGCCCGGAATCTGCATACTGTACATTTCAGACTAACGAAAAGCTGGAGGAGAGAAGATTTGCCTTCCTGGATGTGTAATTCAAGGTCCTGGATAGAGAAGGGAGCTTAGAGGGGAGATACCCTGGTCTCCCTTTGACCCCAGAAACATCCTACACTGAGCTTCCTCAAAAGATTTGTCTGCAAAACAAATCGAAGACACAGATCACCTTCATCCTGCGCTCTCTCTCTCTCTCTCTCTCTCTCTCTCTCTCTCTCTCTCTCTCTCTCTCTCTCACACACACACACACACACACACACACACGTGCGCGCTTAAAGACAGGAACTCGTATACTATTTATATTTTTAAAACAGGGCCTGACGAGACAGCTCACTTGCAAGTGTGAGGACCTGAGTGTGGGTCCCCAGAGCCCTCATAAAAAGCTGCATGTGACAGTGCATGTTTGTACTGCCAGTGACATCTAATAGGCAGATCCATGGGCACTCAAGGATTTCCCCTGACCTCCACACTCCACACTCAGGTACATACATGCTTATGTGTAAACCAACATGAGGACGTGCTCCCCCCCACACACACAGTTGGACGACCTGTCTTTCTTGTGATTAATAAGCACCTGACTTGCTGATGTAATTGAATGATGCTAAGAAGCCCTCCCTGCCCTCCAACCTCCTCTGGCAAGTTGGCCTGTTCCGTTCTGGGTATGAGATTCTGTCACAGATGTTGTTGAATATTCTTTGGTCTATGTTGGTATATTTGGGGTCCTTAGAAGTGTCCCCCAAAGTGCCAACTCAGCATGGGTACATCTTTAAGCCACTCAAATCCAGGTCTTTATTTTCTTACAATGCTGGTGATTGGAGCCAAGCTCTGCCCTCTACCACTGAGCTGTGTCCTCAGGCCTCCAAGTTCAGTGCTGAAAGAACCACCTCTGATTTCCTCAGTGCTGTGCACTTCTGTGTATGGTTCTGAAGTCACCCAGGATGTATCTCCCTCACTATCTTTAGACTTCTCATCATATATTAACCAAATGTGACTACAAAATTATAACAATGTTCATTACCTTTAAAAGACTGCTGCTTTTATTTTATGATGCCTTCCCACAGTTATTATTCCTGGCATATAAGATTTTTCCACCAGTATGACCAAGGCTTAGAAACTGGCTTTTGCATATTCATTTGTCTGGTATTGTTTCATAAGCCATAGACATACTTAAACTTCATTATTAACATAATATTAATATTAGGTGAAATAACAGTCCATCAATTTGATAAAGCAAAGCATACTCAACCACCCCATTTTGTTGAGTTGTGGGGCAATTTCCAAGCCTTGTCATGCTGCATCATGCTGTTACATCTTTAAACAAATAGCACTTTAACTCTTGACCAACTTCTCAGTGATGGTTTTCCAAGAAAGGCATTTCCCAGGATCCACTCCCTTTGGGTTTTGATGTCCTAGATTGAGAGGGTTTACTTGCTGTTCCATTCACATTTCATGCTCTCCTGCCTCCTCTCAGCGGCTGCTGTCCCCCAGCCCACCTTGAGAGCTGTCGGCATGTGTGGGCTGCCAATGCTAGGAAGCCTTCTTGGCTTCCTTATGGTCTTCCTAGAAAAGGGCTGATGGTCTTCACCAGAAAACACCACAGTCCTTGAAAGATTTGGCTGCCAGGACACATCATGCAAGGTTTGTGGGGGAGGACCTCCTTAGTGTGTCTAGAGGAAGAACTCTCAATATGCTGGCTGGCTTCTGTCATGCTGGGGCACACGGGGCATGAATGATACTCCTTGAGAACTGTTGTGAGAGTGAGCGATGGAGACAAGAAGAGGCTCTCCCCACAAGTCCCCAGAACTCCCAGGAAAAACGTTCCTGGACCAGAAGAGTCTAAGACCTCCATGCTGTGTGCATGTCAGCACTGACTCGTGCCACCAGGACAATGAAAGGAAGTGTCGTAAGTAAGGTATATGGTATCCAATTAGCTGAACAGTAGAGGACACTGTCTGTCTGATTCATGGGACTCCTAATGGGCTGTCAGCACTACAACAACTTGATATGCTAGGGAGCATCCAGGGCTCTTGGGGCCCCAGCTCTACCACTTATCAGCTGAGTATCAGAGAGCAAATCCCTTAGCATCAACAGTTTCTTTGGGATTTGCACAATGGGAATAATGCTGGTACTTAGGGACCCTGTAAAGTTATAGTAAATTTAGTGATGTAATAGATATGCAAACATGTGGTAAATACAAACAAGAACACTGGATTTCTAAAATTGCCTTTGGCCCTCATCAGCTAACAGAAGAATGCTTCCTTTGTGCTTCTGAATGGGGGACCATGACAAGTGTCTCCTCTTCAGTGTCAGGTGACCAGATAAACAGCTCAACACACAACACACACACACACACACACACACACACACACACACACACAGAGAGAGAGAGAGAGAGAGAGAGAGAGAGAGAGAGAGAGAGAGGATCTCAATTATCACATGAAAGAGAAGAGATAAATTTTGTGGGTCCAATTTTTCCCCCATCACCTATTTTATTCAACATTGTATGAGAGATATTATTGTTCCCATGGAAGAGAAATAACTCTTAAATGTTAAATAATCGTATGCATGTTAAAGCTGAGATTTGAACTCTGTCTGTCTGACTCTAGGGCCTGTGTTCTTGTTCTGATAACTTGTTATCTCTGTCTTTATTCAACATGGTCAACAGATCAGGAGAATAGGCAGGAGGTTTTAGAGCAGTGTTTCTCACCCTGTGGGTTGTGACCCCCACCAGGGTCACATATCAGATATTTACATTATGATTCATAACAGTAGCAAAATAACAGTTATGAAGTAGCAATGAAATAATTTTATGGTTGGGGGTCACCACAGCATGAGAAACTGTATTAAGGGGTCTCAGCATGAAGAAGCTTGAGGACCACAGTTGTAGAGGAAGGAGAAAATACATCAATAGCCTCTTGTGTATATCAACTAGCTGTTGCTGCTGCATAACAAGCCAGTTCAAAATGGCTTAAAATATTACACATGTAGTTAGCTCTCCAGTCTGTCCTCCGACCTGGAGATTCTTCTGATCCAGAATAGCCCCTTGCATACTCTTGTGGTCAGCTGTGGATTAAGTGTGGGCCGATTTGTTGATCTTGGCCAGGCTTTCTTACCTGTCTGGGGCCTCAGCTGAGACAATAAGGCTGACTGACTCAGCTCTGCCTCACCTACTCTCTTATCATCCAGTAGGCTAGCCTGGGCTTGTCCTCATAGCTGAGTACAGATGTAGGCAAGACCTTTTGGTGTCTAAACTCAGAATCAGCCCATTGTTGATCTTGCTAGTCAAAGAAAGAAGCAATATTTCTGTTATACACGCTTACCCCAAACTAAAGTTTTTAATCCCCTTAACACTCGTGTGGAGAGAAACTACTAAGGGCTGTTTTTACAGATGGGGATATTGAGTTACAGAAGTATTAGGCAAGTTTACCCAAAGGGGTAGAACCGCTCGGTGGCAAGGGCATGATTAGAACTAGAATCCACTCCCTTAACTACGGGTGGCTTACAGTCAGGTATCTGTGACGCAGTACTCCCCCGAGGAAGGACAGACAAAGGGCCAGGCTAGATGACACAGCTCTGAGCCTGCCTGTACAGCAGTGGCAGGCAGCCAAGTTAACCAACTTCTGTGACCCCCTTCTTGAAAGGAGATACCGAAGAAGAGATGGGAATGGCCTTGAAGGATGGCATGGTCCAACCTGGGCCACTGGCCCTCTATCTCCGGAAATTTTTGTTTATGTCTCAGTGTTTTAGAGAGCTAGGACTTCCCATGTCTGGCTCAGTGACAGAGCTGTTTGGGTGATCTGGGAAGCCCTTGGACCTGAGAGGACCAAACTGCTTCTTCAGCTCAAGCCTGTCACAAAAATAGCCCTTGTCTAGGAAGGCAGGTACCCCCGCCCCTGCATTTCCCCTCCAGCCCCGCCTGGCCTCTAAAGAAAATGACACAGAGCTGACTGCACACAGGACGAGGCAGGACGTGGCTGGGAAGAGAGCTTGATGGAGACTCACCAGCAACAAAGGGAGGAAATGAATATGCAGTATTAGTAATTATACTGTACATGTCCCAATTTGTATTTCAATATGTCATTTCCATAATAAAACTGCTGAAGTGAGTGGTTAATGACACGGACTCATGTCAGGGAGTTGGGGGAGGAAGGGGGTGGACCCCCCACCCCAATAACAAAATTGCTTTCAGTGGGGGAACTCTTTCATGGCAGACTGGCTGTTTACAAGGCAGATGTATCCAGGAGATGAAGATGCAGCCCAAGGCTCTTATGGAAAAGGAGTCAGGGTTGACCGGCCAACTGCTGTGCTGCCTGGTCTCCATAGCTGTGTGGAGTTGTGTTCCAGAGGGAAGACGCATCCTGCAGGGCCCCTAGACCGGATTAGAACAAACAGAGAAGGGCTTTGGGCTCTGGACAGCCCTCGCGATAAGGTACGAGTCACGAACAGTCTTATGCCTGTGGCTGTCTCCTACAAAGCCCCCAAATCTGTTACTGAAAACCTCCACACACACTTTTCCTGCCCTTTCTCCATTGCTCACTTGCCTGTTTGAACGTCAAATTCCATCACATCCCAGGGACTGGCTCTGACCACACTTGCCAGAACCACATGCCCTATTTGGGGGGCGTCTGTTCTCAACAGGCCCTGGTTGGAACCTGCAACACTAACTCACCACAGAGTGATTGTTAGTTCCCTTATCCCTGCCCCCACGGCTACCTCCACTGACCTGAGAGTCCCCTCAAAATGAACAGAGGTGGTTCAGGATCATTCGGAGGGAGGAAGAGGAGCCAGGCACCAGTAAGAACTTTCTCCACTTTCTTAGCCAGAGGATATAGTCAAACTCATCTATCTCTGTCCAAATCCCATTTCCCAGCTTCTAGCCAGGATAGAATGGAATTCTCTGGAAAAATAACAGAATCAGTGTCAGAGCACAAAAAAGGTAACCATGGTGCCCTCGTAATTGTATGGTGCTCTCCAGTCACACAGCTCTTGGTGGACACTGTGTCTGCTGGTCCTCTCATCACAGCGCTGTGAGGTGAGCACACAGGTATTATAATGATTCTCATTTCACAGAGGAAGCCAAGGCCCCCAACAAGGGATCTACCCGAGCCGAGCACTGTGCCGGTGTGCTTGGAACTGAGGCTTGAACCCTGGTCTCTTGAACCCAGGGCTCTTTGCACTCACACAGAACTGTGGCTTCGTGAAGCAGAACAGCAGCAGGCTAAGATGTTGCCCCTGTCCCCAGGACCAGAGGACTTGAGTTACTTTTAGCCCATTTCTTTTTTTTAAAAAGCCCATAGAAAAATATTAAAAACATTATAGACAAAAAGAATTTGGCTTTTCTGAAAATGATGCCAGGTGAATGGTCATTCTTTAGGAATATACCCTCTACTGAATGTTGACCTTAGAGCCAGAAGTTTGGGGTAGAATGAAAGAAAATGAAGGAAATTCTCCAGGTGGGAGACCTGGAACACACATTTTTTTTTTCATTTGGAGAATTGTATCATACAGTTCAATCTTTTAATTCCTCAAAATTTCCTTTTCTACCCACTGTCTTATCCATCCAACCAAAAATCAATTTCAGCTTTCCCTTCAGAAAGAGAATCAAGTCAAATCAGAGACCAAGGGTCGATGATGGGGAGAGGAAACAAAATACAACCTTGTCTCTGATACACAGAATCTATCTTACACATACACACTCACACATACATGTGTGCACACACATAAACACACATATATTCACACACATGTACACACACATGTGCACACATATTCATACACATACACTCACACACAAACACATATATTCACACACACATGTGCACACACATAAACACATATATTCATACACATACACTCACACA